CAGCACTGGGGCAGGTGTGTCGCCTTCATGCTCCGCTTGTGGGCTTCCTGGGGTTGCCAGCCTACAGACGGTGGCTGGAGATCTCTCCCGGGATTACAACTGATCTCCAGGTGACAGAGATCCGTTCACTTGGAGAAAATGGCCACTTTGGAAGGTGGACTCTATGGCGTTATACCCCGTCGAAGCCCCTTCCCTCCCCAGGCTCCAGTCCCAAAACTAGGGATGCCAGCCTCCAGGTGGGACCTGGGGATCCCCCCGGAATTACAGTTCTTCTTCAGACTGCAGAGATCAGTCCCCCTGGAGAAAAGGGATGCTTTGCGCGGAGGGTCTACGGCAGTGATGGCGAACCTTTTAGAGACCGAGTGTCCAAACTGCGACCCAAAACCCAGGCCTGGGCAATGTTGAGGGTGGTGGTGGCATATTTGTCAATTATGCCCACTGTAGGCAAACATCAGCCTACATTCCAGGAGGGCAACGGGCTCCACTCCTGGAGTGGACTTGACCTCTCGGCAGGAGATAAGCTGCGGGTGGTAAAAGGAACATCCAAAGTTCAGTGAGCGAAAGCTAGAGCCCTTGGGGGAGGATGAACACAGGGGAAAGAATTCGACCCGGTGCAAACACCAGTCAGAGCCAATCGGGATGGGTCCGGGGAGAGAATTCCTGAAGTGGCTTCGCCTTCAACTCCTACTTGGATGGCAAAGGAATGACCTCTTTCCCCCTCTTTTGCAAGCTTGTAAACCCTTCTCTCAGGGGGGTTACCAGTGGACAGCTGAAATGGATTCCAAGCGGAAGGGTGGCCAGCAATGCTCCCTCTAAGCCAGTGATGGCGAACCTTTTAGAGACCGAGTGCCCAAACTGCGACCCAAAACCCACTTATTTATTGCAAAGTGCCAACACGGCAATTTAACCTGAATACCGGGGTTTTACATACATGATCATACATGAAGCTGCCTTACACTGAATCAGACCTTTGGTCCATCAGGATCAGTACTGTCTACTCAGACTGGCAGCAGCTCTCCAGGGTCTCAGGCAGAGGTCTTTCACCATCACCTACTGCCTGGCCCTTTTAGCTGGAGATGCTCGGGATTGAATCCGGGACCCTCTCATCACATGCTCTTCCACTGAGCCACAGCCCCTCCTCCCACCTAGCTCTCCCCTCAACACAGAAGTATCCAAATAGGAATAGAAAGATTTATACAGAAGAATGTGGTCCTTCAGATACTCTGGTCTTAGGTCACTTAGAGTTTTATGGACTAAAACAACTTTTACTTTAGGAAAAATCTCATACATTAACTTAAGAGGATCCAAACAAAGGAAGGAAAGCAATCTCAAATGCTTTCATTTACTTAAAATTATTTGGCAGAGATTTTGACACTTTAATGATGGTCTGGGCCTGGCTGGGGCGATGGCACACACGCCCACAGAGAGGGCTCTGAGTGCCACCTCTGGCACCCGTGCCAGAGGTTCGCCACCACTGGTCTATGGCATTGTACCCAACTGAGGTCCCTGTCCTCTCTGGGCTGCATCTGCAAACCTCCAGGAGTTTCACAACTGGATCTGGCAGCCCTATCTCCATCCCCTGCTGGTGGCCAGGGAGGAACTGGCAACCCTACCCATAACCTCTGGGTATTTCCCAACCCAGAGCTGGGGACCCTACTGGAAGCATCTTGTTAGCCACCAAAGGGTAGTTAAAGAAAGCCCAAGGAGGCAACAAACATGCAGACGATTGCTTGCACACACACTAAACAGCACGCTTTCAATCCACTTTCAATGAACTTTGCAAGTGGATTTTACTGTGCAAAATGGCAAGATCCCCTTGCAAATGGTCGCTGAAGTGGACTGAAACTGTATTATTTTTTGTTGTTGTTCAGTCGCACAGTCGAGTCCGACTCTTCGCAACCCCATGGACCAGATCCCGCCATGCCCTCCTGTCTTCCGCCGTCCTCTGAAGTTAGCATGTGTCAAACTGCACATTGGGGCTACCTCCTGGGAGCATCAGCTTAATTCCTGAACAGTGTCCATATATCCCAAACCATTTGGTGTGGTCCGCATCTCCCAGCAAATCACCCATTTTGATTTTGGTTCTTCTTTGTGCAAAGAAAACCTTTGTTTTCATGCCATTTTCTGATCCCCCACAACATCTTTCCCCCCCTGTGAAAATGTCTGTATTTTTCAACCTTATTTATGCACAAATGGGCATTATACATATATAAACAACACACATTTTACATATAAATGCTGTATAAATTCAGTGTAAAAGCTTTCCAGTGCACATTAGTGATGCAAAGAAATCTGTGGCGGATGACAAAAACTAAGCCGGAAGGAATTAGATAAACAGAAGCCAAACAGGAAATGGTGGCTCATCTCAACATTCATTGAGTCTCAGTGAGGAGGAAGGACTATAAATGAAGTGAATAAATGAACCTTGCCCAATACGTGAAAGATGGGTGATCAAGACAGACGTCTTTGGAGTCCTGGTGAAAGATATTTTGGAAACAGCCAGGAGATTTGGGTAAAGGCAAGAAGAGCGGGACTGGCTGCGCCCTACTGAGCAAAAATCTTCCCTCTCGCTGAACTGAAACTTGGTTTAACAACAGCTGAGAATGGTCCATCCCCATCTGAAGGAACTGATCGATTCCTTCTGTTCATAGAAACACACCGGCTGAAAGCTGCTACAATGCATTTCGTCAGGCTCTGTGGTGCTGCTGGACTTCCCCCAGAGTGGTATGATGGTCCCTAGGAAGAGAATCTGTGCTTTGGGACTGGAATAACAGGTCACAGAGTGGAATGACAGCCCCTGGAAGTAGCAGAAGCATTCTGGTATTGGAATGACAGCCCACCCCCACCCCCCAAGAGTGGAATGACGACCCTAAGCAATAGGATCTGTGCTCTGGGGCTGGGATGACAGGACACAGAGTGGAATGACAGCCCCTGGAAATAGGTTCAGTGCTCTGGGACTGGAATGACAAGTTGCAAAGTGGAATGACGTCCCCTGGGAATAGGCTCTGTACTCTGGGACTGGAATGACAGCCTGTCACGATTCAGGTGGGGTGTCACCTGACGCTGCCACCACTCTGGATTTTGGTTCCCTTGAGAAGGCCCAGAGTACCCTCCCAAGACCTTCAGACCTCCCTTATTTGGCCGAATAACAGGCGTGAGGACCAGGCAGAGTAAAACAAGGAAAAGGTTTATTTTATAGGAGGTCAAACAACAAGGTGCAGAATAATAACAGTAAGTGGGTGAAAAGAAAAGAAATGCCCGTACGCGTCTAAATATACTGTTCCTAGCTCACTATCTCAAGTGGCCTTACACTACTCACCCTTCCCTCAGGATGAGGGTTTTTCCCCTACAGTAGCCTTTCTTCTGGCTCTGCCCTCTGGAAGAAAGAACAGCTCTTCCTGCTGCTCCAGAACTTTTATTCCAAGCCCTCCTCTTTTCCCATTGGTCCATTTTGGCTCCAAAACCTCCCAGGGGCTTCTGGGAGCTGTAGGCCCAGCCTCACCTACTGCTAGCCAGGCTCCTTGGGCCTAGTAGGCCTCTGGTGCCACAGCCCAGATCATGACACAGCCCCCAGAGTGGAATGACGGTCCCTGGGAGTAGCAGAGGTGTTCTGTGACTGGAATGACAGCCCTCAGAGTGGAAGGAGGAAGCTGGTAGAAAACAGTGATATGACACTATCTGCTGTAGTAGTATAGTACTGACAGTAATGCCAGAAAAGCTGGCCTCTCACAAAAAAAGCAAACCCTTGCTATAAAAAGAGGACATGGACAGTGTTCCCTCTAAGCTGAGTTAGTGTGAGCAAGCTCACAGTTTTTTAGCCTCCAGCTCACACATTTTTTGTCTTCACTCAGGAAGGAGGGCTCCAGAGCAGACTAATTTATGCAGCAGCCAAATCGCTCACTCACAACTTTAATGCCAGGAGCTCACAAAGTAGAATTTTTGCTCACAAGACCCCACAGCTTAGAGGGACCACTGGACATGGATCATAAGACCTCAACGAGCAAGTGAGATAAGACAGGAGCTTGCATGACTCAGAGCTCTCTTCATCATCTGATACAAAAAGCTTCTGCTGTTGGGCTTCGAGGTGGCGCTGGATTCCTGTTTCCACTTTGTGGCTTCTGTCTAGCTAGTAAAGGTAAAGTTTCCCTTGCTCGAAAGCCAGTCGAATCCGACTCTAGGGTTGCGGTGCTCATCTCCGTTTCAAAGCCGAAGAGCCAGCGCTGTCCGAAGACGTTTCCGTGGTCATATGGCCGGCATGACTAAACACCAAGGCGCACGTAACGCTGTTCCCTTCCCACCGAAGTGGTCCCTATTTATCTACTTGCAATTTCTTGCCTTCGAACTGCTAGGTTGGCAGGAGCTGGAACTAGAGACAGGAACTCACCCTGTCTTGCGGTACCCGGGTCTTGAACCACTGAACTACTGACCTTCCACAGCCTGCAGTTCAGCGTCTTAACCACTTGAGCCACCGCTACCCATCTGGAATTTCGCTTAAGCTAACACGTTTTCCCATGAATTTGCTCAGGACTTGCATCGCAATCATATTGGATCTGACGTAACTTTATCCTGGGGCTTGTCAAAGCTACAGGAGACACACACACACAAACCCCACAAGTTTCCCCCAGGGTCCTTTCCCCACCAGAGCGGGGAGTTCAACTGAACCCCCGAGCACATCACCAGGTTTTAAAATGCAAAGACTGTGATCTGGATTGGGGCTGTTGCTTGGTGGTAGAGCCTCCAGTTTCCATCTAGGGAGACCCAGATTCAATGCCCAGCATCTCCAAGTGAAGAAGAAGAAGAGATTGGATTTATACCCCACCCGTCACTACCCAAGGGAGTCTCAGAGCGGCTTACAGACTCCTTTCCCTTCCCCTCCCCACAACAGACACCTGGGAGGTGGGTGGAGCTGAGAGAGCTCTGACAGAAACTGCTCTTTGTTTCAAGAACAGCTCTGACAGAACTGTGGCTTGCCCAGGGACATCCAGCAGCTGCAAGTGGAGGAGCAGGGAATCAAACCCAGTTCTCCCAGATTAGTCTGTGCACTTAACTGCTACACCAAAGTGACAAGGAGCAGGAGGCAGGTGACGTGATGGAGCCTGCAGAGGCCATCAGAGTCCAGAAGCCAGTTTCCCACAGACCACTGAGCTGACTCAGTAGAAGAGAGCTTCACCTGTCTGAAAGAATGGTGCAAATGAGGAGGTGGGGCTATGCAGATGAGGCAGGCTGAGTCCCACACTGCAGGTGCAAGGAAAAGTGCTCAAGGCCGCTGGTCAGCAGCAGAGTCCCAGGGCGCTACACGGATAGGAATCCAGCCATGAAGATGGTGAGGAGAGTAACGCTGAGCCCGGCCAAGTCCCTGCCGCCACCGGCACCGTTGGAATTATCCTGCTGTTTCTGCGCAAGCTGATCCCACAGCTGCTGGATTTCTGCTTGGTGGTGTTTTCTGGGGGAAACAAGAATGAGTCGGTTAGACGCAGGACTAGTGACTCTGCAACGCAACTGTGCAGATGGTTTCAATCCAACTCTGCCCCCCCAGCAACATCCAGGTCCAGGTGAGAAAGAGGGAAGGGGCCATAACTAGGGTTGCCAACTCCGTCAGGAAATTCCTGGAGATTTGAGGGTGGACTCTGGGGAAGGAGGGGTTTGGAGAGGGGGGAACTCCCAGGGTATAAGAAAAAGGTAAAGGTTTCCCTTGCTCGAAAGCCAGTCGAGTTCGACTCTAGGGTTCCGGTGCTCATCTCCATTTCAAAGCCGAAGAGCCAGCGCTGTCCGAAGACATTTCCGTGGTCATGTGGCCGGCATGACTAAACACCAAGGCGCACGGAACGCTGTTACCTTCCCACTGAAGTGGTACCTATTTATCTACTTGCAATTTCTTGCTTTCGAACTGCTAGGTTGGCAGGAGTCCCAGGGTATAATGCCCTCCAAAACAGCCATTTTCTCCAGGGGAAGCTGGTCTCTGTAATTGCAGCCAATCTCCAGGCCCCACCTGGAGGTTAATCCAAAAAAGAACTACCAATATGAGTCCAAATTGAAAAAACAATAACCGTAGAATAATAACTAATTAACTCTGAAACAAATCTCCTTTTTAATATACCAATTTACTAAAACACATAAATATCAACTAATAGATATAATGCCTCTGTGTCCGTGTCCATTTAACAAAGTCTTTATGACTCATTTCTCGGAAAGCTTATGGGAATAAAAGTATTCATGCACTGTTAAAGCGTACCGCATTATAATATTTTAGAAAGGACACTTCTTAGCTTTATTGTGCTGTGCTATTAGCATTTATTAGCTTTTCTATGTATTTGTAAGGATTCGGTGATTTAAAGGGATTTGTTGACGTAGACTAAGCACTGTATAAATGATTTTGTCAAATGGACACAGAGGTGTTATTTCTGTTATTTGATATTTATGTATTTAGTAAAATGGTATGTTAAAAAAGAGATTTGTTTAAGAGTTAGTTATTGTTCTACAGTTACTGTTCCCCCCCCCCAATTTGGAGTTACCTGGAGGTTGGCAACCCTATAGCTTCTAGGGAAGGGCTGTACTGTGGACCTGGAGTCTGTGCTTTCCCAAGCCTTGCTGCTATTGGAAACAGGATGTTAGAGGGATGGACGTTTAGTCTAGATCATCATACCAGTGGACCTGGCAGTGCAAACAAGGCCAGCTAAATGGACGTTCCATGGTGAAATACAGTGTATCAGATCCTGGGGACACGGAAGAGGAGGGGGGTGCCTTTGTGGTCCTTATTTTTATGTATTCACGGCTCTTCTCCCCAATTGGGACCTAAAACAGCTTACAACATGGTTTCCCCCTCCTCCGTTTTATCATCACAACAGCCTTGTGAGGTAGATCAGACTTGAGAGTGACTGAGTGGCCCAAGGCCACCCAGTGAGCTTCCTGGGCTGCATTGGGCTTTGAACCTGGGTCTCCTAGATCCTAGTTGGACACTCTAACCCAGGGGTGTCAAACATGCAGCCCAGGGTCCGGATCAGGCCCCCAGAGGGCTTCTATCAGGCCCGCAAGGGACTGGCTGTCTCCTGCTTCTTCCTCCAGTTCTGCTGCTGCTGCTGTGTCATAGCTTGCTTTCCCAGACTCTCTCAATCGCTCAGGAGAGATAGATAGGCAAGCTTCTGCTCCCTGCTCTGGGCTGAGGCTCCACCCCCTCCCAGATTGCTACAGCACAGACGTTTTGATGCAATAATTCAGAGCAAGAAGTGTCTGTTATCAGAGACTGTTAAATAAACAAAATATTGCAAGAGTGCTCATGTTTCAAGCATGTTTTTAAGTTTAAAAAACCCTTTGTGCTACCTCTGGCATTACATTTTATGACACATGTGGCCCAGCCCGACAAAGTCCAATTTATGTCAAATCCAGCCCTCCATAACAAATGAGTTCAACACCCCTGCTCTAACCCCTGCCCCATTCTGGCTTCAGCCTCTGCCTGTTCACAGCCGGGATCAGATCCAGCAGGGAAATCCTTGTCTTCTTACGTGAACTAAACTGAGCACGCTCAGTTCTATCCTGTTGTCCTTACCGTTCTTCTTGGCTTTTGCGCTGTTCATCATTCAGCTGCTTGGATTTCTCGGCGAGCTGTTGCTGCAGGTTTTTAATTGCCTCTTTGAAAAGAAAAAAGGGGGGGGGGAAGACCAGGCTATGACCAGATGTTCCAACAAGTAGCTCACATGTACAGTTGCACCAGTTTTCTTCCCTTGCTCTAGCTCACACTCTTAACATCTTTCCACTTCTGACAGGGCAAACCCTTTCCTTCCCAAAACCTTCTGTTGAGATTTTGCATGTCTATCAGACATGCCGGTTCTATCACATTGCATTTATGTGGCAAAACATGTACCACTTTTTAATCCCATATCCAGGTTGCTTTGTGCAATTCCAGAGAAGCATAGGGAAGAATAATACAGGACGTGGAGCAAGGCTCAGCTTAATCTCAGCTGTCTTTTTTTATATATATAAAGCAAATTTCTAGTCCCTTGGGTAGTTTGAAAATGCGTGGGAAGATGGTTGGTGAAATCCAGCAGAGGGGAATTGCTGGAAAAAAATTTTGGCCAGGGGACTGGGCCCTGAGAAGCCCTCTGATAATTTACGGCTCGTGTAGTTAATTGATTTTAGCCACCAAAAAACCTCAGATTAAACACAGTAGTAAAATATTGTGAAAAGTCAAACAAGAGGGCACATTAAGAACACGGTATAAGAGATGTTCTGAATTGGATAGCCTAAGGCTGCGGTCACACGCACCAACTGAAGAGGAGGGGAAGCAAGTCAGTTCCCCCCCCCCCGGAGGAATTTGACAAGGAGTTGCGAGATCACACCTCCCTTTGTAGGTGTGGGTGCAGCACTGTCACTGTGTGATCAGATGCAACTGCGGGTGACTTGGCCGTTTGTTTCCCATGCCCATAAACGAGGAATTGCACCTCCGCGCTGAGGGCCCCCTATGGAGTATGCGATGTTGCGCATACTGCGAAGGGGGGGGGGGACCGGCACCGGGCTGGGATGGCCTGATCAGACCATCCCCACGGCTTCAGAGCGTGCTTCAGTGATCAGACTGCCGTGATTCACTTGTATAGGTAAGGCTGGCCTAGATGAGTTTGATCTAGTGTCAGAGTGAATGACAGCTAGAGGCTGCAAAGGAGGCTGGCTATAACCGGTTTAAAGCAGTCCAGCCTGGCACTGAGCATTGCATCAGGATTGCATCAGCTGTGTGCTGATTGGTCAGTGGTTGTATACAGGGGTCGTTTCGTAGAAAAAGTGCTAGGGGGACTCATTAGCATAACTCATTAGCATATGCCACACCCCCTGACATCACCGGAAGTGTGTCATAAGGCCACACCCACCACTCAGTTAGTCTTAGTCTTAAAGGTTAGTCTTAAAGGTGCTATTTGTTAGTCTTAAAGGTGCTATTTGAACTCTTGGACTATTTTGCAGCAACAGACTAACACAGCTAATTCCTCTGAATCTAAACCCACCACTCAGGCTCCACCCCCAAAATC